TCAACATGTAACTCCCCACCCCCAAGGGGACAAACAACAGAAAAGTGTGTGAAAGGAGACAGCAGTCAATGTAAGATATGAAAATAATAATTTATAAATTATCAAGAGTTCATGAGGGAGGGAGGGAAAAAATGAAAAGCTGTTACCAAGGGCTCAAGTAGAAAGAAAATGTCTTGAAAAGGATGATGGCAACATATGTCCAAATGTGCATGACACAATGAATGTGAGATTTGTTATAAGAGCTTTAAGAGCCCCCAATAAAGTTATTTTAAAAAACAAACTTTTCTTGCATGTGAAATATATATATATATATATATCTCCTTTTGTAGTTGATTTATTTCACTCAGCATAATAGTTTCAAAAGTCATCTATTAGTAAACTGAATCAAAATTTCATCTCTCACTATGGGTGAGTAATATGCCATTATATAAATGCAACAGTTTAAAAAAATTCATTCATCTGTTGATAGGTACTTAGGTTGTTTCCACCTTTTAGCTATTGTGAATAGCATTGCAATGAGCATTGGTGTACAGATATTGGCTTTCTTGCTTTCATTTCTTTTGGGTGTACACTTGAGAGTGGAAATGTGGAGTCACACGCTAATGGGTTTCTTTTGAAATATATTTTAGCCAAGACTAATACTTAGCTAATATGTGCCAATTCTGTTTATGAAAATATATTCAAATATTTTGGGTCCATAGTATACTATAAATTATTTTATGCAATGTCATGTATGCTTGTAATACAGAGATGCCAAATCCCTGTGTGTACAGTGCATCACAAATATTTCAGCCAAGTGTAAACAAACCTAAAATTGACAAGCAACTACTTTGTTTTAAACAGCTGATTTACTGTGTTAGGGTGTAACATAACCCTTAGCTTATCTATGCTAGACATCTTGACTGTGCAGCCCTGATTTGGAACCATGAAGCATACTGATACAATGTGAACTGGATATATCCAATACGTTTATATTATGAGGGGCCCAATGTTTTTGTCTTACAATGAGAGCAAAATAGCAGTGTAATAACTATCCTTCAGTTAAGTCTCTGACCACTCCCGAGACTGGGATGCCTACCACCATCTCAAACCTCAAACCATAAACATGAGGGATATCTTTCCAAGACACTCATTAAAAGTAAATTATGGAAGATTTGGACTTCAATTAATAGATTCACTTTACCCTGTTCTCCTTCTGAATGAATGTCTTGGGGTCTTACCTATGTGCTGTGTCTTGATTACCATATAAATAAACTAAATTAGTTGATTTATGGCAAATCTGAGCATTTCTTTCAATTTGCAATAAAATCCCAAGGCACTTTATTTCATGTGTATCCCTGAAATACAGTTGGAATTGAATTTTGCTCCATTAAGTAGTCTGAAATCATTGTTTTCAAACAGGTGAGTTAGCTCAGTTTTTGCTTATGGACACAATTATAAGTTTTTACTTTGGTCTGTCATTTGGTATTTTATTACTACATATTTATAAATATAGGAATACACATCTCATATGTCCGTTAACTTATCATTATAAACACATAAAAGTCTGTAAAAATCTTTCACTATGTGGTTAAAATCTTTATGAATTTGATATTATTGTAGTACTGGGGAGATTAGAACTCTTGTGATTACTTTTGTAGGAATGCCTTGTGTATTAGTTCTCTAGTATGAGCACTATTGAAAGTAATAAATACTCAATTTTCGCACTATTACTCTACATTCATTTCAAAATTACTTCCTTTTAAGCTTGATAAATACTTAATTAGTGAAATTTTCATGTACCCTCTCTACTTTCTCCTGCATTACCCCTTCTTGTGTGCTTACAAATATTTATCTGTAGACTATGAGGTATAAAGTATGTAACATATGGGTTTTAGGTATTCCTCTTTGTTCCATTGCCCTTGATACAGCCCTGCAATGCCTCCCGGACCCTCCTTGACATTGATTTTGGATCATTTGTTGTTCCCTTGTCCCTGTGCTTGTTAACGCCCTCTTCCTTCCTCCCCCCCTACCCTACCCCCAAGTTCCCCTGATCTGTCATTCCGTTGCTCTCTCTTCTGGCTTGTTTATTCCACCTATCCCTTCCAGGTAGAGGTGTTATGTACCATCACCAGACTGAGTGCAACAAAGCAACAACAGAAAGTAAAACAATGGCTACAACAACAACAATACACACATATGCATACATATATCTGGGGTCTTAAAGGCTTGAAG